GGGCGGACTTCAACTCCCAGAATTCCCCAGCCAGCTGGCTGGGGAATTCTGGGAGTTGAAGTCCGCACATCTTAAAATTCTCAAGGTTGAGAAACACTGCTCTATTTCAACCCTCCCCATCTTGGTACTCTGCTGATCTAGTGGACTTCAACTTTTTAAAATCCGCCAGCCTGGCCATCAGATAAAAGATGATGGGGACTGAAGCCCAAAGGCTTCTGGAGATCACGGCTTGGGAAAGGTTGCTCTGTTCTTCCCCCTTCCACTCACTTCCTTAAGCTTTGAGCAAGGACTATCTCAAAATTTCATTTCTCTGCACATCTACTGCCAAACCAGCTGCTGAAGATTTGATTGGTAATAAGCCAATAAATAAAATTAGTCACTCCCACTGCAGAATCCAGCAGAATTACTTGCTCCAGAAAGGACAACTCATTAATTAAACTTCCTACTCTGCTGGTATCAAAGAGAAACTCGCAGAGAGTAACAGCTAAAAACAGATATAATGCATTTTGCTTTTTTTGAACCATATAATAAATACAAAGCAAATACGAGACCACAATAAAAAGGCAGCTCAGCCCCTGATAATCGTTAACATGAATGATAAATCTAGTGGCCTAAGCAAATTTTTTTAAAAAACCCTTCAACCAGGTAAGATTTCTTAAACAGTTCTAGAAGTGGGGTGTTAGTTACCTTTCTGCACTAAGAAATTGTATTGGAAATTGCTATCCTGAAAGTGGGTTAAGTCGGAATCATTGGTGGGAAGGCAGGATGGAAGAACAACTTTTTAGGTACAGAACAGGTTTTAGTTAATTAAAAAAAAACCAGACCGTAAGAGTTTTTGAGAAACGCTACACTAAGACCACAATGTGTGCATTTAGACAGGATTTCTAATGGGTTATGCTCGTTCTTTCTTCCCTCAAGCAATTTAGCATTCATCCAACTGAGAAATGTCACAACAACCTGGCTCATTTATTATTATTTATTAATGGTTGCATTTAAATTCTTCTTCTCTGGGAGCTCAGGGTGGCACATATATCAAAGCAGGGACACTTTGTCTTATCTTCACATTTCTGAGGATGGAGTTGAGAGAGTGGGTTGATTTCATCACATGCTTACTCATTTTAATCCAATTTTCTGCATTTACATGTCACAGTAAATCAACAGAGCCTGGTTTACACACTACACTAGGCTAAAATGTGATTGGCTAGTTGTGGTAAGGTGTGTTGGGTGAATACCATCTTAGTAGCTGGCCTGTTATCTCGACTCTGAGAAAGTAGGTTTTGACTCTTTCCTGTCCCAATTCAACATCTTAACTCTCATTCAGAATTCTTGATAGGAACTATACAGTTCCCCACTGTACCAATGGCAATTGAGATGGATGTCGGTGGGTTCACAGGTGGTAGGTCCTGAGAGATCCTCAGGTCCTGGACCATTAGCATGACAGTTAAAGCACTTGGAGCCCCATCTCTCCACAGCAGAAGCTGCCCCATGTCTTGATGACCTGGCCTTAGCAGCTGAGGGGACAAACAGTAGCAGCCAGCCCCTCCACCATCCCGGCCTGTTGGAGCAGACAGTTCTCCATGATCATGCTCTGTACTGCATCCCTGAGGAAACAGCAGCTCTGAAGAACCTGGTGAGGGAACTGAAGGGCACTGTGTCCCACCAGAGTGAGCTCCTCCTCAGCCTGCAGAAGACTGTAGAGGACCAGGAAAAACAGTATCGGGAACTTCAGGTAAGGGCCAACTGTGCATAGCCAAGTACAGGTAATATTCCAGCAGTGGAGAAGTGAGGAGGGGAGAAAGAACCTTGCATTGCTGGCTTTTGCCCTTGCTTCCAGGAAAAAGCAGAAGCCGAGAAATGGCAGGTTCTCTCTGCTCTTGGAGCACACGTTTCTCAACTCAAGACTGAGGACCAAAACCTGTGCTGCCGGCAGGACGAGCCAGAGTCCTGGGGACAATGCTTGCAGAAGGAGCGGGATGCCTACAGTGCCACCGTCCTCTCACTGAGCAAGCAACTGAGGGGGCGGCTTGAGGCCCAAGCACAACATGCGGTCTTCTCCCTTGAGTGTGTCAAGACTCACAGCAATTGGTTGAGGTTCTACACAGGCTTTGATGGGTACACTCGCTTCAAGGCCTTCTTGGACTTCCTCCAGGAGGGGGAGAGTCTGGAGAACAGTCCTCCCTCTGCCCTCAGCCCTGAGAACCAGCTCTTTTTGGTGCTTGTCCGGTTGCGCTTGGGGCTCCTTCTTCAAGACCTGGCCTTTCGCTTCCATATCTCTGAATCCACAGCCTCCCGCTACTGGCTGAGCTGGACGGAGCTCATGGAGCAGAGACTGCGACAGGTGAGTGGCTCCTTCCTTCTTCCCTCCCTCCCTTCCCCCAGTCCAGATGTGCTGCCCTAAATCTCCCTCATCCTGAGCTAATGGCTACTAGTTGAGGATGATGGGAACTGTGTCAGATATTGAAGCAGGATAGAAAAAACCTGGCTGAAGGATGGTCAGGGAAACCTCAGAGTCTGATGTGTATGTGTGTTGGTGTATATGTATCTCTCCCTCTCCCTCTCTGATGATTTCAGTCTTCCTCAATGGTTGCTTATTGTATTTACCTGAAAGAATTCCTCCTAACCCCCCCAGAACAGTTTGCCCTTAAAATGGGGAAATCATTTTAACTGCGCTGAAATTTAACAATGGAATCGTCTTACCTTCCTGTTCTGGGGGAATTGTATTAAACTGAGGGTTAACTGCCTTTCAGGTATATAAAGTTGTTTTTTATCGTTTAAACCAGGCTACCTTCCTTTATTCTTTCAAGAAAAAGTCTTATTACGTGGAGATGGCTTGAAAGGTTGAATTTTGCATTAACCTTTGAAAAACTTGCATCAGTGGCCTCTGAGGAAGAATGCTTAGGTGTTAAATACACTTGGCTGATCATTTATTCTACGTGCACCTTCAAAAACTTTTTTTTCTATGTGATGCCCTTTAATCTTTCCTTCGCCAGTCTCTGAAGGATGCTATCAGATTTACAAGGTATAGGCTCTTCCGTCTCCCATTTTAAAAAAAACTTGCTCAAGGAACAAATGTGGGAAAGAAACAGTAGTGGAAAGGGAGCTGAGGGTAAGGAGAATTATATTTAGCTCCATTGCTTTGCTTGCTTCAGTGTGGCTGATAAGAGCAGGGATGAGTGCCTTCAAGCAGAGCTCTGCAGTGCCCCCCAGTGGCTTCAAAGCACATGGCACCCTGCTTATCCAACCCCACGCATGACTCTTGCAGTGTTTCTCAACCTTGGCAACTTGAAGATGGGTGGACTTCAAGTTGCCAAGGTTGAGAAACACTGATCTATTGTGTACTTTTCTTGTAAGATCAAATCTTAGGCTGCAGCGTGCCCCCACCTCTGGAATTATGCATAAAAATTTGTTTCTTGTTTGATCTCTGCGTGTCTGCCTTCAAGTCAGTTTTTGTCTCCTGGCGACTGCCTGGACAAGTCCCTGCAGTTTTCTTGGCAAAGTTTTTCAGAAGTGGTTTGCCTGTGCCTGCTTCTTGCCAGGGCTGAGAGGGAGGGACTGGCCCAAGGTCACCCAGCTGGCTTCGTGCCTAAGGTGGGACTAGAACGCCCGTTTTCTAGCCTGGGGCCTTAACCACTACACCAGGCTGGCTCTTCTGTTTGACCTATACGGTACCTCAAATCTAAATTACATTCAAGGATCGCTTGAATTAATGGAATATACTAAGTGGCCACAAACTTTTTCTGTTGATTTCAGTGAGAGTTCAGCCCCACTTTCCCTGGACTCGTATATGCATTTATGCCCCCATTTTCATCCTTGATCAGTCAAAATAAATCCAAGGCTTGTACCAAGATAAATAATCCTTTGCAGAAAGTGAACTTCTGACTCTGAATGTCACTGAATGACATTTTCCTGGACAGCTTACATTTCACCCTGGATTAGGTCCCCCATCATCATATTTATCCAGAAGCATTAAACTGGGGAAGGTTTAGACCACCAGATTCTCATTCTGAACCAGCAGTCGGGGTATTGAGTGAAAACAGAATCCTATTCCAATTGTGAACAGCTTTCTATTCACAAATCATGCTAGGGATCCACTACTTAGGTTCTGAAATGCGATTTGGTGTAACAGGAATCCAATCAAAGCGAAAGCCTTGGCTTAACCAAGGACTGCATTCCAAAAAGCAAGCAGGGCCAAGACAAAGCTGTTTTTAAATTAAAAAGCTTTTAATTAAATGTAAATATTACTCCCATATATTTATTTTCCACTTGTCACATTAGACCACTTGGAATTCTGGGAGTTGAAGTCCACACATCTTAACGTTGCCAAGTTTGAAAAATACTGGATTAGACTTTAGGGTACAGGGAGGGGTTACATAACCCTCTCAACACCCATTTGCGGGGAGAGAGGAGGCTGGCCTTGCGCACTCATCTTGCTTATGGACTTCCCCAAAGCATCTGCTTTTCCCGTCAGAAAAGAATGCTGGACCTTTAGTTGAATCCCAAGAGTTGCTCTTATGTTGTTAGTCACCCAGCCTAAATTATACGCCATCTCTCCACTACCTTTTTGCGTATAGATGTCTATTTATCTGTTGGTCTACAGCAAACGGGTATTTTCTCACCACTGGCAGGTTCCAGTTGCCTGCAGCAAGCGCTACATAGACGCCTTCAAGCCACAACACCAACTTCAACATCATGACGTGGTGCTGGTGGCCCTGGACTGCGCAGAGCTTTTTTTTGAAGCCCAGGGAAGGACACGAAGGAAAGCAGGTGGCTCCCAGAGTCCTCGGGCCCACTACTCAACACACGGGTACGCTCTGGCCGCACCCAGCGGCTTCCTCACTTTCAGTGCAGGAACCGGCCGTGAGTTGCCCACGCTGCCTCCATTCCTGCAGGCGGGACACGTGGAGCTGACAGCTCAGCAGGAGGCTGCCAAGAGGCAAGTGCTGAGTTTACGCAGCCTAACAGACAAGGCTTTCGGCTTCCGCTTCCTGCGTCTGGTCCACCCTCAGAATATGGAAGACCAAGTGGGCAGGGCCTGGATCATTTCCTGCTACCTGGCCTGTCTGCTGCATGAGCCTATGGGCCTAACCTAGAGCAAGGACTCCTGTATCCTCAGGACTTTAAAACTCATGCTACTTTCAACACTGCATTTTGCTCACAGGGACTGCTTGGGTAAGATGGAATTCCTGCTTAGAATTTATACTTTTCTGTTTTCCTTGATCACCAGGTAACAAAACAAGCAAAGCAAAATTCCAGTACTACCTGCACAGCCCAACATTTAACAATACTTTTATTTCAAAAGCTTCCCCAAATTGCTTTCCTGATTCTACAATTAAGTGTTAGCATTGTCATACTTTCCAGTTTCCTTCCTAGAAATTTTTGGAGACCTGGTTTCTTTTTTTCTTTTCTTTTCTTTTTCTGGTCCCTTTGAGTCAGTCTTGACTACTGGTAACTGCCTGGACAAATCCCTGAAGTTTTCTTTGCAACTTTTTCAGAAGTAGTTTGCCAGTGCATTCTTCCGAGGGCTAAGAGAGAGGGACTGGCCCCAGACCACAAGCTGGCTTCCTACCCAAGGCAGGGCTAAAACTCATCATCTCTCGGTTTTTACCCAGGTGTCTTAACCGCTACACCAGACTGGTTCTCTGGATCATTTTATCATCCTGTTCTTTCTAAAGCAAACAGTTCTAGCCCTCAGGTTCAAGCTTGGCAAATTTCATTTCTTTTTCCTCAGTCTGTTCTCCCACACTGAATTTCAGGTACTCCCTCTGTGCAATTCTGGGTCATCAATGGCTATCAAGTTAGTGCTCCAAGGCTAGGTTGGCATACTGTTTCTAAACTTTTTAAAAAAGATCTTCCAAGGCAGTTTCTACGCTCTGAAATTTACTGCAATTTCAGAACATTTTTCAAACCACCAAAGTGCCACTTTAATCATGTTTCCATCTTGCACCTTAACTAGCCAACATTTCTAGTAAATGTCTTACAAAGTTATGTTATTAATTACAGGAGGTAAGGATTTCTTGGGAGAAGAATGTATTTTAGAACAAAGTCTCAGATTCTGTTGTGATTCAACAGACCTTTGCATGCTGGGGTCTGAGCGAACAAGCAGACACTGCCAGAGTATTAATTTGAGGGAAAAAAAACTTTAATCCATACATGTTGGCCTTCACTTTCTCATGAAACTGTCTAGTTTTTGTAGCCTCGACTGGCACGGCGACCTCGAGCTCGTTCAAATTTACGCCCCTTGGATCGGACATATGGCCTAGAAAAGGGAAAATTGGGGGGGGGGGGGTAAGACAAACGGTCTATTGTTACATCCCACATTTTTGCAGAAGACAGAAAACTATCCTGAAATTCAGAAAAGCCACAAAAAGTGGCTTAGCTTCCAGCCACTTTTCTTCAGCTCACTGATCCAACAGGATTCCCTCTTAAGTGGAGAAACGAGTAACTATAGTTTCTTGCTTTCAAAGTGTTTCATTTTTAGTCTTTAAAAACTCTTCCAATCCCAACAATAAGTCTTATTCCTAAACACTCACCCAATAGATAACAGAACATTATTTAAGACTTGCAGCCTAGATCCATGTCCAGCCCAAACAGGGAGGCAAGGGTAGAGATGGTTCAATGGCTGCAGATTTTTCAAGGAACAATCCATTTTTTTTTCACATGGCAAGCATGGAAAAAATCCCCTTCGCATATTACATTAAACAAGTAATTTCAACTCGTAGCTCTTCAATTCACGTTAAGCACCTTTTTTTAAAGTTACTGCAAAATACACAAATGTAGAAACAGTGATGTATGTAAACATATCATCAAGTTTCCATCCTACTTTCTGGCAAAGCTGGAAGAATATTGTTTTCTGAGATGGTCTAAAAAAATGAGATTGAAAGACAAAAGATATCTCTTTCAACTTAGTTCTGGGCATGCCTATTCAGGTATTAATCCTACTGAGTTCAAACTTTTTCACTGAAGCAAAAAGTGAGCAGAGAATTATAGCTTTAGTTAATCTGGCAATTTAGTGTTGCAAATTACAGAACCTGATGGTTTCTCAGGAATTTAAAGCAGACTTCTCCACTCTGGTGCCCCCTATTTTTTCTATCAACATGGCAAAAATCCTCTAATTCTCTAGTTCCCTTTTTAAGAGCAAATCTCTCATTGTTAATACTGTAAAAAGAAACGGTCATGAAGATGAACATAACTCTTATATATCCAAGACCTAAGAAATAACTTGTGATGCCATTCCAGTACTTTAGGGTCATCTTGTGCACTTACACAAATCTTACCAGTATAATCGTTCAGGGAACCTTTGAAAATCCCTCCCAATTACAAACCATCATCCTGGAGCATTAAGTTAACTGACCTTTCCAGGACAATTATTGGGCTTGGAATGTTACGCAAGTCACATATCCTTGAAAACCTGATAATAGTGCTTTGCAAAGCGCCCCTCCTTGAAGCAGCCATGCCCTTCAGAATGCTCAACGCAGCTGATCCAGTGGCTTTTCCTGGATGTGATGCACGCACAGCTGTGTTACTGACAGTTCCAGAAGTACCACAAAGCTGGCACACGCACACTGGCAACCAGGGAAAGCATTTGAAATAGTTCTGCCCAGCCCTACAGAAGGCATTGCTGCTTTATGGCTTGGAAGACACTTTTTATTTTTCCATACCCACTTTGCAGTGTGCCCCCTTTGAGTGCTTTCAAAAGGAGGTACATGCAAGAAGTCAGAAAGAGAGCGGGCCAGATCTGGAGAAGCCAGCAGTACATGTAGAAACCAAAGCTGCTATTGCAGAAGAGTAAGTAATGAGTAAATATACAGATTCAGCTTTTGAACCACCCTATGACTTTGGAAATCAGAGACAGATAAGGTAAGAGCAAAATGCCCAGAAGAAAACCTAATGGTCTGGAATACTCACTTAGTATGGCTGTGTGGGGTGCCAGGAGCCTTGCCAAAATGCCGATAAACTTGGCGAGCCTTTCTGGGTCCTGCAGAAGGCAAGTCCAGAGAGATCTTTCAGTCAGGGTGAAATAGCAGCAGCACACTAAGACCAATAAAAGCTTCACAACTCTTGAAAGTATAATGTTCTCTCCTGACTCACCAGAAAGCAAAACAGTTCCCTGGCCCTTAGGGGCAGCCATGGCTAACTGGTCAAAAGTCATGATCTGGCCTCCAGCTTTCAGGATGCGCCGACGGGCTCCCTGTGTGACTCTGAGGGCACAAATCTGGGGAGGAAAAAAACCAATTTGCAATGTGAGAATCCCCAAAGCCAACAATTAAAAAAGCAAACATAGGCAGCCCTCATTACCCATGTGGTCATTATCCGCATTTGGAAAATATAAAACAGACCCTATTGTCCTCAGGAAAGGGTTTTATGCATCCACAATTTTGCAGTATTTTACATATGGCACATGTATAAGGAACACTTTTTTGACTGTCTCCATTATAGCAACTAGTTGGAACTGAACCCCTGCAAATGTTAAGGTCACCTCTATTTGCAATCTCATCTACACATCAATTATTATATCTGGGAATCAAATATCTTTAATCAGTTGACTAATTATACCCTCCATAAGTAGTCAGGAAGCAGGTTCAGAACATTAAAAATAAAACACTTCTAAAAATTGCACTTCTGGTTTAGGCAAAGTCAGCAGCATAGCAGTTTATCTAACAAACAAGCATTCTTCTATCTCTCATCCACAAAGCTGAACAGGTTTCATCAAATGACTGACTAAAACTCAATTCAGATGCCCTTAAGATGGGCAATAATTGATATTGCAAATAATCACTGGAAGCAATTATGACCTTTTGCATATAGTTCATATCTATTGTACATTCCTGCATATATTACTTTCCTCTAGTTTACGAAATCTGAGCTGTCAAGACATCAGTCCCCTTGCTCTATGTCTCCTCCCATCAGAGGAGCTGCTCTGCCACCAGTCAGGATACCTTCAGTTTGGGAATTTCCTGGATGCGAACATCATCCGTCACTGTACCCACCACAACAGCGGTTTTGTTTTCCCGGCCTTGGAGCTTCATTTTACGGATCTAGAGAATGGGAGTGATCAAGTTAACATGCCTGTACTGACCAATTTGCCTTATAAGCAGAAGTTTCACTGATCCTCGGCCAGCGTAAGTATCCACTGCTTTTAGCTACAGCCCACCCTCCCAAGGAGCGGATCATAACTACTGCCCTCCTTTTGAGCTCATCAACTCATATCAACTTCCGTTCTTCTTTTCTTTCTTAACTCTTTGGTCAAAGCCACAGTAGAGGTGGCACCACTTAAACCTTTAACAGGAAAGGAACGATAGCAACAACAGAGCATACATCAAGCAAAGAGACAACTAAAACTGATGGGTAGCTGAAGAACCAAGAAGAAATAAAAAAGTGACAGAGGTGAAGGGTCTGCACTTACCAAGCGGGACACAGACAATGGAGGCCGGTTGGTACGGCTCATGAATAGCCGTTTGAGTATCACCTTGTTGAATTTGGCATTGGTCCGGCGAGCAAGGAATCTGTAGAGCTGAGAGGATGGAAATTAAACCCAATTCCCAGATAACGCTCACAAACCAGTCACCCAAATAAATCTCCAAATATAATCCAGCATTATTCTCTCACCCTGCCCCAAGGTACCTGGAAACTAGCCTCAAATTCATTACAATCAGAGCGTTTTAGAGCTTACCCTTATTCAATACAAAACCTTTGCAAATGAAACAGAAGTCTAGCCTTTCCTCAAATATCACCCCGAAGAAGAGCCCGCTATCTCCTAATATAGCTGGGTCCATTATGAAAGAGCTTATTGCCCAGTCTACCCAATGGAGCCAGATGCACCATGCTGGCTTGAGGGGAGACAAAGCTAGTTACTTAATTTCATAAGCCATATCCTGGGTTGCCCCGTATACACCAATATAAATTCAAGTCTATGTTCATACAGAATGCTAACGGTCTAAAATTAAACCTGATTATTACTAATGAATTCCCAGGAACTGGGAATCATATCATGCAAATGGCTCATATTCAGCTAGTGATCAATGATGACACCTAGAACCTTTACACATACGTTGTTGTCAATATAGGTTCCCCCACCCTACCCACGTGTTTACACTTCACGTAAATGCAAGACTTGGCTCTCACCTTGACTAAGAGGCGAAGATAAATATCTTGACTCTTGGGCTCCTTACGCCGAACCTTACGGTCCTTGTTGTGGCGAATATCAATTCCCTGGAGACAAAGAAGAGAAATATTCAGGTTAGTGGAAATATCTCATATATGCCCTGTGCCTGACAAATACAGAGATATCTTGTTGCTTTATATTTGGGCATCTATTTATTACATAAACTCCTTGTGTCAAACAGGAGTTTAATTTGGGGAAAATCAAAGTGCTCTAATTAGATTCTAAGCAGGATCCGCAAATAATCAGGGAGAGCTCTCATCCTGACATAGCAGACATCTCAATGCCCCAAGACTTATGGTATGTTTATATCATAACCTACTCTCCAGTACAATAATATCCACTGGATATATCCAGTGTATGAAAAATCTCAAGATTATGAGGATATTAGATTGCTTTCCTATAATTACAAGATCTTCTGCGTAAGCATTTATAAAATTGCACTGTTAATCTTAATGACAATTTCTCTCTCAGACACAGGTAGTCCTCGAGTTAAGAATGGCCGGGTTACAGACAATCCATAGTTAAGAACAGGCCTATTGTAGCAAAATTTGAGTTAAATACAAAATGATTTGAATTAAATACACAATGGTTTGAGTTCATTACACAATACCCCTTATACAGTATTATACAATAATACTGTTCTGGCTTACATTACAAATTTGACTTGGGAATGGAACTCATTCTTAAACTAGGGACTACTTGTACAGTTTTTCATCTGTAGACTAGACAAAATCCACATTCCCTCTATGGGAGAATCTACAAAGACAAGGTATAACCTGAATCAGATATGTATGTACAAACCAAGTGAACAATATGTAAAATACACTAGAATGATATGTGGCACAACAGCAATAGAGACATTCAGTCATGTTGTACTGTACTATCCCTATTATGTTGTTTCACATCAGGAGCTGTTATCCTCATTTTTAGACAAATGCCACGGCCATTCAGATTTATTTTATCTATACCCATTTCTATCTGACCAATCAGCTCTGTCTTACTGAACAGAGCCAAATATTGTTTTGCTATCTACAGAACTCACCATAACTTATCAAAAAGCGGAGGACTTTAGAGGACTTTTTTTTTTGCACAGACAAGCTGGTTACTTATTTTTAGTTTTATTTCATTTTCTTTTAACTAGTTACTCACATTTAGGTTTCACCATTCTATTTATTATTGTTCAATTTCACTATTTGAACATTGCATGTTTTATTTTATTTTTTTTTAATTTACTTTGCATTTGGTGTAGTGGTTCAGGCATCAGGATAGAAACCAGGAGATCATGAGTTCTAGTCCTGCCTTAGGTACAAAGCCAGCTGGGTGACCTTGGGCCAGTCACCCCCTCTCAGCCCTAGGAATGAGGCAATGGCAAACCATTTCTGCAAATCTTGCCAAGAAAACTGCAGGGACTAGTCCAGGCAGTCACCAGGAGTCAAAAACTGACTTGAATGCACACACAGGTAAGTAGATGACCACAATAAACTAAACTGAACAACGCTAGAATTATACTACTGTTCCTATAGCTTTGCATAACTAATTCACAAGTCACTGAACACAGAAGACTTTTGATTTGATTTTTCCAATGTGCTGATGCTTAAAACAGTGCTTGAGGCATCTTGTCAGTTACTGTTTGGGTACTATTTCCTCCCAAATCAATGTAGTCCATTTCAGAGTACAAGTTCATCTTCCAATCTCTCCAAGCCATTCAACTGAGAATTATCTTTTAACTTTAGCTGTGTTCCTCTCAAATTACAGACTGTATCCTCTAAAGTATTCCCCCTGTGCATCACCACCCTTCACATTTATCTAAGTCCCATGACCAAAGGACCCATTGCAGTACCGTATGCCTTCTTTCCCCACATTTGTTCTCTCTTCAGTACCAACACTGGGTTCAGTCACCAACTCATTCTCGAGAGTTTCCTCTTGTCCTATGCTGCTGCTGCTGCTTTGTTCACTCCCGTATCCAGAAAAGTCTATCTACTGCTACTACACTGTATATAACAGATCTCACTGGATGGCATCTACTAATCGTACGCCTCTCATTCAGAGTTTGCCCAAGCAGCAATTAAGAAGAGACAGATGACATAAAAAATAGAAGTGCTCTATTCTAAAATCACCGATTTTATAATAATAGTCACATGGCACCAAAAATACACTTTTCAAAAATAATGTTACGCTTTAAGAGGATATCTGAAGCAAACTTTTGTGACACAAGACTCCCAGAGTTTTCCATCTAACGTTACCTCGTTACAACCAAAGTAATTAGGTGGAACTTAAGCATGCATCCCTGGCTTGTCGCGCACACACGTGTTCGGGCCTTTTTCTCCGCCCGAGCTTTAGGAGATCCCTCAAACTCAGAACTTTCTTAGGCCCGAGTTCCATCCTGCAACAACAACCGCCCTCTGCGGACACGTCTCCCTAGAGTCGGGGTACAATCATGGGCCCCCAGGACTTGTTAAGTTTCCCCCGTTACCAGCACAACACAATATGCTCTCCAGGCCGCCTCCCCGGAGAGGATTACAACCGATTCAACACCCCTGCCGCCCTTCCCTCTCAACACTCACCATGGTGGCGTCGGCAGCGCCGGAATAAAAAAGGGACCGGAAGAGGCCGCAGACGCGCGAAGAACTATGGGAAAGAAAGGATGAGACCGGGAAAGGGAAACGGGGAACTTTGCCTCTCTATGGTGATTCTAAGACTGAAAGTGCACGTAGACGTAAAGCAGAAGTAGAGTGACATTCCTTTGTCGAGAAACTAAAGTTCCGGGTTAATTGTGTAATTAATTTTTGAAAACAGTATATTTACTACATCTCGTTGGAGCGATACAGTTGAACATTGGATACAACTTAGTTACGCAGGGTTTTGCTGAAATAGTGACCGATCAACGTGATATTGTTGCCTCCACTCAAACTCTGTGGGATGAACATACATGCATATCGTGCTATTCCATTTTGGGAAAGCAACTTAATGCAAAAAAACAGAAAAAAAGAGAAGCTATAGTAACACACACACACCAATTAAGGCATGTAGTAAGAAAAAGAAAGAGAAATAGTTAAATCTAGTTATTTCTGTTTTCTGTATTTTCATTGCAAGAGGACACTTGCAATGTTAGTCAACTGTAGCCAAAAATCAGAATGATTTTTCAAACAAATAAATTAAAATTACATTTTGTTAGTCTAAAAAGATGTTATCAGACTCCTGCATTTTTCAGAGTATCCACCACGATGGCCTTGGTCTTCTCTTTTCTCTCCTTCAAAAATTTATTTTTCCAATTTGATCCTCATTCATGGTCTTTTTTATCACCACCAAACCACTTCAGTGTACTCCTTTTGTATTTAGTCCACATTCATTCAGCATTCACTCATTCTGGCTCCCATCTCTTCTTGTCACATACTCTTCTTACAGACCTCATTCACCTTGCATTCGACTTACTTTTATGTTTCTCCTAATATACCCACCTGTCACTTCCATATAAGAAAGTGGGCAGAAGCGCATTCATCAGACACAGCCATCTGCCCTTCTTTCAATGTTGATTCTTTACAACAGGGCCCATAATACCCACAACCTTTCTACCAGCATTTGGTTTAATGCAGTGTTGTCCAAACTTGGCCACTTTAAGATAAGTGGACTTCAACTCCCAGAATTCCCCA